AGAACGTCGCTCTCATCACAGTCTGTCTGAAAGAAACTCGGTCTCTCGCCAGTTCTCCAACCTCATCTACTTTCATACTCAATGAGTCACATATATCCTGTGCCCATCTTTGTGTCGGTCGGCCCCTGCCCCTCCTCCCTGGTATCATTCCTTCTGCTATAATTTTTTCCAATCCGTCGTGGCGCTTGATATGACCAAAATATTTCAGCATTCGAGAAAGGATGCTGTTTATTAGCCAATCTTTCCTTGATGTTCAGATCTTTTAAGATGTCAATATTTCTCATCTTCTTTGTCCAATATATTCTGAGAATCTTTCTATAGCATTTGAGCTCAAAAGCACCTATTCTCTTTCTTTAGGACTGAGAGATAGTCCACGACTCACATCCGTATGTAGCCACAGGGAAGACGCATGCTCTCGAAATTCTAATTTTTATCTCCTTGCTGGTGGTTAACGATAGACTTTTAGGGATGTTCGATCTTTGCATTGATATGGCCATTCTTCTTTTAATTTCTGTCGAACAGTCTCTATTGCTGTTTATTACAGAGCCTAGATATTCAAAGTTTTTATAATAATAAAAACAGTGATAATAATAAAATGAGAATACTGTCAGTTAAAATCATAGCGGTGGTGAAAATAATAGTAACAATTACATAAATGAGAATAACAATAGTAGTAGGAATGAAAATACTAATACTAATGATCCACATATAGTAACACTAACAAACACAGAAACTGAAATAAAAATATAAAATAAATGAAAGTAAGAAAAATATTCTATACATAAAAATATGCTGAAACTGTCAGGTTCAGAATACCTGGACTATGAATAAGGCGATTTTCTAAAGGAAACGTGTACTTCAATAACCAGAGCAAGATTTTATGGCGGCGACAGAGATATCATCATCACCTCTTTGGTCAGAATTGTTGATATATATATATAGAGAGAGAGACTGGGTAGAGTACCTCTCTTTCAATACCCAAAAGATGTTCATAGAACTGATTAACCTGTCAGTTGCATCTTTTACAGATACGAAGGGAGGGACTGACGCCCGGACAGGCGGATAGACAGAAGACAGACAGAAGACAGACAGGAAGACGAACAGTTTACCAATCCACGACAGGGATGTTCAGGGTACGATTCTGTTCCTTTCCTGAGAATCCCATTTCAGACACTACAGTCGATCTTTCTCCCTTTCTCTGCACTGTCCAAGTCTGACACTGGTAACACAGAGTGAGATGGTCTCAGGGTAATACAAGTTGGACAAACCCAAAGTAAATAAAATGTAATGACCAAAGATTTAGATTTTCGTGTATCCAAACCAGTTCAAGGGAAACATTATGAAGAACATTATTGCCAGAAGCTAAAACCGTTGGGCAGAACTTCATGTCAGAAATGGAGACAGTTGCATGCAATAGAGCGAAGTAGGGACATCGAGTTGAGCTCTATATGACTTCTAACGGCTCACGAAGGATGATGATGATGATGATGATCATGATGTTGTTGATGATGATGATGATGATGATGATGATGATGATGATGATGATGATGATGATGATGATGATGATGAAAGAAGACGCTTATCAATGCACGCTAATGGTGAGAGATAAATGGTAAATGTGGCAATCAAACAGCATGAGGAAAATAACTTACGAAAACAACAGTCCCTCCTCCAACGTTGTGGGGGACAATGTTTCGGAACAGCCATTTCTTTGCTACAAGGACTCCTGTTATGTAAACAGAGAGAACACATGTGAACCTAAACGTAAACATGTACAACACAAGAGCTCTTTTTGTCACATACAGGGATGTAATCATAAATATATTGTGTAGACATATATGAAGTAAAGGTCCCTTTTCCATGCCATTAGGCGTAATGGGCACATAGGGCTAGACCTGTATTTTATAGACCACTCGGTACTTGGTGTACGATGTAGTCAACATCACATGCCTATACCTGATACCCACTCAGGGCTGGGTTGACTGGAAGCCATAGGCCATTTTTCTAAGACAAAAAAGTTCACATCCGGCAGTATCCGAACCCATGTCCTTCCGATCTGCAGCCGATCGCCTAGCCGCTCACAACGACCGCTCCCGGAAAAATATTTAACAAATACACAGAGCATGACTGAGAAACAGAAAAACAAAAAATAGACAGACTGAGAAAGATAATTCCATAAAAAGGGACAGACAATTTAGCCTCCATACTTAGAGACAAACAGACTTTGACTGGGCGAATTGCTAGATGAATGGATGGATGGGTGGTTATACATACATGTATACACATAAAGATAGACAGAGTGAACGATTTACCGAACAACTAATTTTTTTTCCGAACTGTTAGGAATAGGGTATGCAGACCCGTCTGTAGACTGACGAACAGACCAACAGTCAGGCAGGCAGACAGACAGACAAACAGAGAGACAGACAGATAGACCGGCCGGTCGGCCGGCAGTTAGATAGATAGATAGATAGATAGATAGATAGATAGATAGATAGATAGATAGATAGATAGATAGATAGATAGATAGATAGATAGATAGATAGATAGATAGATAGATAGATAGATAGATAGATAGATAGATAGATAGATAGATAGATAGATAGATAGATAGATAGATAGATAGATAGATAGATAGATAGATAGATAGATAGATAGATAGATAGATAGATAGATAGATAGATAGATAGATAGATAGATAGATAGATAGATAGATAGATAGATAGATAGATAGATAGATAGATAGATAGATAGATAGATAGATAGATAGATAGATAGATAGATAGATAGATAGATAGATAGATAGATAGATAGATAGATAGATAGATAGATAGATAGATAGATAGATAGATAGATAGATAGATAGATAGATAGATAGATAGATAGATAGATAGATAGATAGATAGATAGATAGATAGATAGATAGATAGATAGATATAGATAGATAGATAGATAGATAGATAGATAGATAGATAGATAGATAGATAGATAGATAGATAGATAGATAGATAGATAGATAGATAGATAGATAGATAGATAGATAGATAGATAGATAGATAGATAGATAGATAGATAGATAGATAGATAGATAGATAGATAGATAGATAGATAGATAGATAGATAGATAGATAGATAGATAGATAGATAGATAGAAAGAAAGAAAGAAAGATAGATAGATAGATAGATAGATAGATAGATAGATAGATAGATATAGATAGATAGATAGATAGATAGATAGATAGATAGATAGATAGATAGATAGATAGATAGATAGATAGATAGATAGATAGATAGATAGATAGATAGATAGATAGATAGATAGATAGATAGATAGATAGATAGATAGATAGATAGATAGATAGATAGATAGATAGATAGATAGATAGATAGATAGATAGATAGATAGATAGATAGATAGATAGAGATAGATAGATAGATAGATAGATAGATAGATAGATAGATAGATAGATAGATAGATAGATAGATAGATAGATAGATAGATAGATAGATAGATAGATAGATAGATAGATAGATAGATAGATAGATAGATAGATAGATAGATAGATAGATAGATAGATAGATAGATAGATAGATAGATAGATAGATAGATAGATAGATAGATAGATAGATAGATAGATAGATAGATAGATAGATAGATAGATAGATAGATAGATAGATAGATAGATAGATAGATAGATAGATAGATAGATAGATAGATAGATAGATAGATAGATAGATAGATAGATAGATAGATAGATAGATAGATAGATAGATAGATAGATAGATAGATAGATAGATAGATAGATAGATAGATAGATAGATAGATAGATAGATAGATAGATAGATAGATAGATAGATAGATAGATAGATAGATAGATAGATAGATAGATAGATAGATAGATAGATAGATAGATAGATAGATAGATAGATAGATAGATAGATAGATAGATAGATAGATAGATAATGATTAGGTAGGCAGACACATTTTAATAAGTCACAGAGAGACTAATACCTGGAGTCTGTGGCCCTCCGATAAACTTATGGGGAGATATGAAAACAGCGTCTTTGTATGCCAGGGGACTGATGAGAAAGTTAATCAGCAACATTTACTTGTGTAAACAAAATCAACATAATCAACATATGACTATTTAACCATTAGAAACATCTGATTTGTTTTTAACTGTCAGCAACAGTTGACTGTTTTCACCACCAACAACTGTTGACTGTTTAACCATCAACGATTTTTGATTATTTAACCATAATTAATACCTAATTGTTTAACCATCACGAACATTTGATTGTTTAACTATCAATCATAATTAGCTGTTTAACCATCATCAACAATTGATTGTTTAATCATTAGCAATACTCATTGTTTGATCATCATCAATATTTGATTAAAGTGGTATCGAGAGTGGTATTAACAGTGGTATCGACAGTGGTATCAACAATGGTATCGAAAGCCGACCGTTTAGTATAATCGCAAGCTACCGAACGTACACTCAGCTAGTAAAATGATAAACAGCGAGATATATATATATATATATATGTCGGCTCTGTGGCTAAGTCGATGCGAACGCTTCGTAATGCCGGGGTACCGGGTTCGACCCCAGCTGCAGGCCATACGCCTTGCGTTGCTTTCGACAGTGGTATCAGAGAGCCGACCGTCCAGAACAATGGCAAACTACTGGAGGTAAATTTGCCTAGTGAAACCACACAACAGCCAGGGACTGTAGGGGTTGGTTCTGCAACGTCCTGTAAAGGATACGCAACTAGCCTTATATATATATATATATATATATATATATATATATATATATATATATATATATATATATATATATATATATATATATGGGATTTGTTCTGCAACGCCGTCTTTAGGATACACAGCTAACTTTAGTTAGCCATTGCATCCTAAATAATGGGCTCTTGATACCGCTGTAGAAATTAACAGCAAGCGGTCTGCTGTCAAATTCCCCATGTAGCTCGGAATTACGAAGCGCAATGGTAACGCATAAGCTACAGACACCGACAAACAGTGGTGAGGTGTAATGATTTCGCATGTGTTATCGCTAGCAGGTAACGATTACACTGGATAGGGTACCACGTGGTATTTTCCTCGTCGTCGCTTTGCTGTTGAGAATATGCGTGCGCAGTTAGCATTGTAGGGCTAGTGAGTCGTAGGTTTCACACGTTATAGTTTTCTGCACAAATGGCGAAAACATGCAGGGAGCATTCTTTTACCTGCTTCAAGATGTAGACCTCGTGGCTTATTTATAATTAATAGTAAGTACTAATAATAAAAAGGGAACTATTTTTCCTTAGCAATTGAAACGGTAGCTGCCAACTTAATATGGAAACAGTAATTACAGCCGTTACATGCACATCTGGTTACTGCGACAAACAAGAAGTGAAATGCTCAAATTATTTCGCTTTAAATACATTTTCCGTGAATTAGGCCCGCATTATGCTCAGAAAGTGATGACGTGATTAACATGCGTACTCACTCTAACGGATTCATGTCAATATCGGTGTACGGGGCTGCGCATGCATAGTCGAAGAATGCGTAGCCGCCATATTGGTGCATGAGGGAAGCCACCGAACTGACGTCCGTGAGGATTCCCGTGACGTTGGAGGCGGCAGAGAAGGATCCGATCAGCATCCTGTCAGGTCCACAGCGGCACTTCTGTGGACAGGCACATGAGGCAGTAGGCAAAGTAAAGAACTCTTTTCTACGACTTCAGACAAATTGGGCAAATAGGGCTAGACCCCAATTTTATAGATTAATCGGTACTCGTATGGTCAACATCACACAGCGACTGCCTTTACTTCCCAGGACTTTACCTGGTACCCATTTAAGGCTGGGTCGACCTGGGAGCCAAGGCAAGACTAGAACCTACGATATTCGGATCTGCAAGCGAGCACGGGGCAAGGGTAAAGTGAATATCAGCTGTGAAGAAAGTTAGTGACAACTGCCACCCACCCCACCTTTTTTTTCCTTCCTTCCACACCCCCCTCTCCCCCCTTCCCCTCTTTCCTGCCACATACACTTTTAGAAAGTTTTCCCACACTGCCAAGATTTTTTTTCTCTAAAGTGTCGGCACAACAGCCAGACTTCAAAAATTACATCGTAGACCAGACTGTCTTGTGTATTATCTATCAATTCTGATCATCTCAGATGCCATAATGTCGATCTGTCCAGCATCTTCTCTCTCTTCTCCTTCTGACTGTTTCCACCTCCAACTTTCCAACCCTCGCGGTGCACTCCAGTTTGATCCTAGTGTAGATTGTCTCCCCCTGATGCGGACAATCAGTTCTCTTCCTAAGTCAGTTTCTTACAAGATGTTTTCATTACTCTTTTTATCAGTCCAGGGTATTCTCATCATTTTTCCATAAAACCATCCTCTATTTCCATAAAATTGTTCGCTAAACTTCCAACTGTCCATGATTCACTTCCGTATAATCAGGATAGGATTTATACAGCTCTTGAGATTTCTCCTTCTTTTGTCAGTTGACAAGAAAAAAAAAACTGTAAAAAATAATCTTTATTTTGTAAAATGCAGCCTTTGCTTAAGTTATTCAACATTTAAGTATTTAATACATCTTCCATCTGCTGTTTTTAGGATACTCAATGTATCATCTTGCTTGAGGATTGTCGGATATACTTTGATGCTACATAATAATGTGTGAGTGTACTGACCTTGAGCTGAGACTTGAGATAGACAAGGTCTATCAGGCCAGTTTCTGTCTGTGGGATGGTGACAACCTATGAGTGGGAGAAGGATAGTGGTTGGTGTCTGCTGATGTCATACATATACCAGGGATATTCAGACAGTAGAGCAAAACATTTTGTTTTCTCATAAAACTTTTTTTTTTTAAATCAAAATGTATGAAACTTGCTGTCTATGTAACTCACTGCGTCTTTGCCCAAACAATTTCTATACGTTTCTATTACCTAACGCCAACACCAAACAAGTTCCAGCATGCCTTGTATGTTTTAGATTACGTCAAGTTGACGCAGCCGTTTCTTCTTCGTGTTTACTTCCTCTTTCGCCGTTTTTTATATAGAAGGAAATGTAAATTTCAGCTAGCTATTTCTTAGCAGCAATAATAACAACATCCTTTGGCTTTTCTCTCCGCTTTCTGGAGTTTGAACTGAGAACCCAGCGACCAAGGGTGTTGCACACAACTCCACAACTTTCCCACACAGCACACATAAGTATATGAATGTTCACATTTTGTTAAAATTGCGACATGACATGTTTAAAAAGGATCTTTAATACAGATCTATAATGTAGAGACCATTAGTACTCTGTAGTTGATATAGTCATCATCATTCCGGCCGCCTTTACTTCCCCAGACTTTACCTGGTACCCATTTAAGGCTTGGTTGACCTGGATGATAGGGTCAATATTGAAAAAAAAAAAAAAGTATGGCTTCGTTCGGAATCGAACCGTGACCTTTGGATCCGCAAGCAAGCGTCTAGCCGCTACACCTCGGCGGCTTCCAGAAATTGCTATAACAAGTCGTTAGTTATGACTCCAAGTCCGGTCTGACTTCATGTGACGTGGTAACCACTGGGGATTCCAGTATAACTATGAGGTTGAACAGGGTTTATCGGAATGTATACAAAGGATTCTCATCGTTGGTGTTTGGATTCTGCAGACGTAGAATCCTAGAAGGGATAACAAACAAACAACCTTGTTGCAATTTGTTGTCATTTCGTATACACACTATTGACATTTCAAATGTTGCGCATGTCAGATTGCATGTTTCTACCTTTATTAAAGAAAATAAATGTTGAATGTTGAAGAATCGATATCACCGCACTCGAAACATTCCATAAGTGCTCAGTTCGTATCTTCTGAAGCAAGAGAGGAGTTCCAATTCCGTTGATACGATAACTGTCTCATTGTATAACCGTCTCGCCTTTTCATTGAGCGTTAAGCGTTGGCCAGATCCGCTGGTAGCTTGCAGTGCCATTTTCCGCAGACAGTAACGATCGATTTTGCTACTTTAGCTTTCGATGTTTATGAGGAGTTTCAGAATAGATTGGAGACAACTTGAGCTGCATGAGATCTTAAGGATGCCTACAATAGAGTCAGATGTGACATTTTGATGTCTGCACTCATGGAGAAAGGGGTTTTTCCGTGGCTGGTGAACCGGATATCAGCTGTCCTGCATTCGCCCATGGTTGCCCTCGACATGAACCTCAGAACCGTGTAATGTCGCTCCACGACTACCTCGGGATTCTGCCATTTCACAAGTGCTCTTCAACGTGTGTATAAGCAAGATTGCAGAGAAAATGAAACGTGGAGCACTAATTTCAGAAAGCCCTATAGTATATGTAAATCACATATTGTATTGTTCCTAATGTTATAAGGTAACCTAATAAAGACTTCATCAACTGGTATGTTGGACGACGTGGACAGAGAGCCTGTTCTGATCAAGCGCCACCAGGACGCCCACAATTCGAATGAAGATGAGAGTCAGGAAGTACTCACGCGCGCTTTGATCTCCCGCCAGGGTAAGATGTTGGAGTGGTGCTCGTATGGTCCAACAAAGACGGTCTGAAGAGCAAACAATAGACTGCATGTGAGAAGGAGAAAACAACAGACAACACACTAGATTAAGTTACGATCAGGGCACCCCCCTACCCCAGCCCCCTTTCTACCCAGGCATAAAGAGCCGGTATTCACCAACAAGTTTACAAAAAAAGGTGCCATACTGACACTATAAAATGCATATTATTACTGCAGCGCTGGAAAACAAATGCTTAACCAAAACAAAGTAAAAAGATCCAATCAACCTCCTCACGATTAAGATCCGGTCATCCTCCTTACAACTAAGATCCAATCATCCTCCTCACGACTAAGATCCAGTCATCCTCCTTACAACTAAGATCCAATCATCCTCCTCGCGACTAAGATCCAATCATCCTCCTCAAAACTAAGATCCAATCATCCTCCTGACAACTAAGATCAAATCAACCTCCTGACAACTAAGATCCAATCATCCTCCTGACAACTAAGATCCAATCATCCTCCTGACAACTAAGATCAAATCAACCTCCTCACAACTAAGATCCAATCATCCTCCTCACATAAAAGCAACAGACCACTGTAGTTAGACTGCGAGCTAGATACACCAGACTCTGCGGTCATCTGTCTGTACAAGACATTCAACAGTGCGGGTCATCTGTCTGTACAAGACATTCAACAGTGCGGATCATCTGTCTGTACAAGACATTCAACAGTGCGGGTCATCTGTCTGTACAAGACATTCAACAGTGCGGATCATCTGTCTGTACAAGACGTTCAACAGTGCGGATCATCTGTCTGTACAAGACATTCAACAGTGCGGATCATCTGTCTGTACAAGACGTTCAACAGTGCGGATCATCTGTCTGTACAAGACATTCAACAGTGCGGATCATCTGTCTGTACAAGACATTCAACAGTGCGGATCATCTGTCTGTACAAGACATTCAACAGTGCGGATCATCTGTCTGTACATGACGTTCAACAGTGCGGATCATCTGTCTGTACAAGACGTTCAACAGTGCGAATCATCTGTCTGTACAAGACATCAACAGTGCGGATCATCTGTCTGTACAAGACATTCAACAGTGCGGATCATCTGTCTGTACAAGACGTTCAACAGTGCGGATCATCTGTCTGTACAAGACGTTCAACAGTGCGGATCATCTGTCTGTACAAGACATTCAACAGTGCGGATCATCTGTCTGTACAAGACATTCAATAGTGCGAATCATCTGTCTGTACAAGACATTCAACAGTGCGGATCATCTGTCTGTACAAGACGTTCAACAGTGCGGATCATCTGTCTGTACAAGACATTCAACAGTGCGGATCATCTGTCTGTACAAGACATTCAACAGTGCGGATTATCTGTCTGTACAAGACATTCAATAGTGCGGATCATCTGTCTGTACAAGACATTCAACAGTGCGGATCATCTGTCTGTACAAGACATTCAACTGTGCGGATCATCTGTCTGTACAAGACATTCAACAGTGCGGGTCATCTGTCTGTACAAGACATTCAACAGTGCGGGTCATCTGTCTGTACAAGACATTCAACAGTGCGGATCATCTGTCTGTACAAGACATTCAACAGTGCGGATCATCTGTCTGTACAAGACATTCAACAGTGCGGGTCATCTGTCTGTACAAGACATTCAACAGTGCGGATCATCTGTCTGTACAAGACATTCAACAGTGCGGATCATCTGTCTGTACAAGACATTCAACAGTGCGGGTCATCTGTCTGTACAAGACATTCAACAGTGCGGATCATCTGTCTGTACAAGACATTCAACAGTGCGGATCATCTGTCTGTACAAGACATTCAACAGTGCGGATCATCTGTCTGTACAAGACATTCAACAGTGCGGATCATCTGTCTGTACAAGACATTCAACAGTGCGGATCATCTGTCTGTACAAGACATTCAACAGTGCGGATCATCTGTCTGTACAAGACATTCAACAGTGCGGATCATCTGTCTGTACAAGACATTCAACAGTGCGGATCATCTGTCTGTACAAGACATTCAACAGTGCGGGTCATCTGTCTGTACAAGACATTCAACAGTGCGGATCATCTGTCTGTACAAGACATTCAACAGTGCGGGTCATCTGTCTGTACAAGACATTCAACAGTGCGGATCATCTGTCTGTACAAGACATTCAACAGTGCGGGTCATCTGTCTGTACAAGACATTCAACAGTGCGGATCATCTGTCTGTACAAGACATTCAACAGTGCGGGTCATCTGTCTGTACAAGACATTCAACAGTGCGGATCATCTGTCTGTACAAGACATTCAACAGTGCGGATCATCTGTCTGTACAAGACATTCAACAGTGCGGATCCAGAAGTGTGCTCATGTGGACAGGCGCCATTTAATACTGAACATATGCTACATAGGTGCTCTCTGCGTGCTATATAGGTGCTCTCTACGTGCTACATAGGTGCTCTCTACGTGCTACATAGGTGCTCTCTGCGTGCTATAGAGGTTCTCTCTACGTGCTACTGAGGTGCTCTCTACGTGCTACATAAGTGCTCTCTGTGTGCTACTGAGGGGCTCTCTACGTGCTACATAGGTGCTTTTTGCGTGCTACATAGGTGCTCTCTACATGCTACAGAGGTGCTCTCTACGTGCTACACAGGTGCTCTCTACGTGCTACAGAGGTGCTCTCTACGTGCTACAGAAGGGCTCTCTACGTGCTACAGAGGTGTTCTCTACGTGCTACAGAGGTGCTCTCTGCGTGCTACAGAGGTGCTCTCTACGTGCTACAGAGGAGCTCTCTGCGTGCTACAGTGATCCTCTCTACGTGCTACAGAGGTGCTCTCTGCGTGCTACATAGGTGCTCTCTGCGTGCTACAGAGGTGCTTTCTACGTGCTACAGAGGTGCTCTCTACGTGCTACAGAGGTGCTATTTACGTGTTACAGGGGTGCTCTTTACATGCTACAGGGTTGCTCTTTGCCTGCTATAGAGGTGCTCTCTGTGTGCTACAGAAGTGCTCTCTGCGTGCTACAGAGGTGTTCTCTACGTGCTACTGAGGTGCTCTCTACGTGCTACTGAGGGGCTCTCTACGTGCTACATAGGTGCTATTTGCGTGCTACAGAGGTGCTCTCTACATGCTACAGAGGTGCTCTCTTCGTGCTACAGAGGTGCTCTCTACGTGCTACAGAGGTGCTCTCTACGTGCTACAGAGGTGTTCTCTGCGTGCTACAGAGGTGCTCTCTACGTGCTACAGAGGGGCTCTCTACATGCTACAGAGGGGCTCTCCACGTGCTACAGAGGGGCTCTCTACGTGCTACAGAGGTGCTCTCTGCGTGCTACAGAGGTGCTCTCAACGTGCTACAGAGGTGCTCTCTGCGTGCTACAGAGGTGCTCTCTACGTGCTACAGAGGTGCTCTTTGTGTGCTACAGATGTGCTCTCTGCGTGCTACAGAGGTGCTCTCTGCGTGCTACAGAGGTGCTCTCTACGTGCTACAGAGGTGCTCTCTACGTGCTACAGAGGTGCTCTCTACGTGCTACAGAGGTGCTCTTTACGTGCTACAGAGGGGCTCTCTACGTGCTACAGAGGTGCTCTCTGTGTGCTACAGAGGTGCTCTCTGCGTGCTACAGAGGTGCTCTCTGCGTGCTACATAGGTGCTCTCTGCGTGCTACAGAGGTGCTCTCTGCGTGCTACAGAGGTGCTCTCTACGTGCTACAGATTTGCTCCATGTGTGCTACAGAGGTGCTCTCTACGTGCTACAGAGGTGCTCTATACGTGCAGTAAAGAGTTTTCCCAGATGTCGCCTGGTTGGCATTTCACTGACAACCAAGCTGTGTGGAAGGCATGGGACAGCCTTCATTAATTCCAGCGACTTTCTCATCTGAAACCATTGGGATGGAGAATGTCGTAACATGACCTAAACAGATAACATCTTCTGTTACACAGAATACCAAATGAAGTCATTAATGTCATTTATAAAGATTTACTTGAATACTATTCATCTGCATATTTCATTAGACTTAATAAACCGTTCTAAATACTGGCCAACATTGGCGTGAAAGAGACACATAAACTGCCAGTAAAATAAGGTTGTATCACAGTTGGTGTCTATTGAAGGATGTCTGGTTGTGCGTGAAGTCAGCAAGCTAGTTCTATTTTGATCTTGCTGCAGGATGAAAATGTGCATGAAGCAAGTGTGATCTCATACTTGGATATTTTCTTCGTGTACGTGTCCTTACATGATGTTTCTTTGTTTGTTTGTTTGTTTGTGTGTTTGTTTGTTTGTTTCTTTACTCTTTATATATTTTTACATCCACCTGATGTTGTTGCATACTGTTTCTACATCAGGCCATTTATCCGTTTTCTATGTATGGCTGTTACTACATACGGCATATGTCTGATTTATATGTTTACCCATTGTCTGGTTTCTATTATTATATCTGACATTTTTTTTTTTTATTTCTTTGTCTTTCGTCTAGTTTTTATGTTTTCTACATCCGACTACTAACTGGCGTACAAGACAAGGCAACTAACCAAACCCTTCCTCTGGAAGATAGTTCTGAGGTTCATGGCGTGAATCAACTTGTTGATGGCTGCCGTAGCACCACTTCCGGTGAAAATCACCGCATCGTCATCCATGGCGTTAACGCACTCCCGGATAATGTTTCTGCAAACGGCGAAACGAACAGTGACATAGTCAACACTTGTAAATTTAAACTTAACAATCAAAACAATCTAATTACACATATCTTGTCGAGTCTATTTCATCGCTGAATAAATTGTGTTTACATGATCAATTTACAGGCAAGTGACAGTCAGGTAAATGATCAATTTGCATCTGTGGCGCTGCAGTCTGCTCCTCTGCTGGACTTATTTGCGTATAGAGTAATCACAACTGAGTGGCTGATGTGGTCGAACACTGGAGATACCTCGGGTGGGAGACTGGGGTCGAGCACCGGGGTCGGACACTTGGGTCACATACTGGTGTCGGACATGGGGTCATCCTCGATCAGCAGACTAGCAAACTAAAAAAGCGCATACGTCTTGTCACTAGAAGCTGAACACAAGACTATAGCATCCACACTAGACAAAGTATAGTTTAGCCATCTATAATTGTAGAGCTGAATATGAGAGTACCTCAACCATACTAAAAATAGTATGGTTTAGCCATCTATACTTCTAGAGCTGAATACGACAGTATAACAACCACACTGGACAAAGTATAGTTTAGCCATTTATACACATAGAGCTGAACATGAGAAAACAGCAACCACAATAGACGAATTGTAGTTCAACAATTTATAATTCTTGAGCTTAAAATAAAATTACATGAAACACCCAAGACTTCAGTTCATCAATGTATACTTATTCGACTGAACATAAGAATAGACCAAACACCCAAGAATTCAGTTCATCAATGTATACTTATTCGGCTGAATATAGTCACCCAAGACTAGGTATAACTCAACAATTAATACTTCTTGAGCTCAGTATAAAAATACATTCAAGACTATAGTTCCTCAGTTAACACTTCTTCAGTTGAACATAAGAGTGCACAAAAGCACTGAGACAACTACATGGAGGGACAAGCACTCCGACAACGGCTTACCGGGCTTCCTCTCGAAACAGAGACGTCTGCTGGGCATTGTAGCTGACTTCTGTGTGGGTGTTGGAGTAGGTGGGCAGAACGTGTTGGCGGATGTACTGCTCGAAACACTTCAACGGTCTGTGGGTGCAAAAATCAACACATACTTCTGTCTTGAAATCTACGAAGGTTATTCCAGGATCAACCGCTAACTGGCTGGTAAAAATGAACCGTTGGGCTTAGCTACACCGTTCGTCGCTTGCATCATTCAGTAGTCTTTTAACTCAACGCACATCAATATAAAGGGTATTTTGTTCAGTGGTTCACGAATCGCGAACGAATACACACGGACACTGTTATTGCTTATTCTACCAGCTGTGAAATTCGTCGTCTCATTGTTTTCCTTCAAACATTAGTTTTTATATCAGTAGTATCAAGAGCAGACCTTCAATGAGCAATGGCAAACTACTACTTCTTCTTCTTCTCTTTCCTCTTGTACCTTACTGAAGTGTCGGGGGGGGGGGGGGGGAGATGTAACGCTCGTTTATGAACTCCGTCAAGAACACTATTAGGCCTGACGTTCATTTATGTAAGGCTGCTCTTAATGCCATCACTCCATTTTTTCCGAGGTCTTCCACTCGCTCTATACCCGTTGTAACGTTTTAGTGTGGCTCGCTGTGGTAGATAGTACCAAGGCATTCTTGTTAGGTGTCCAAACCAACTCATTTATTGCTTTTGGATAAAATGTAAAACTGGCTTTATTCCTAGTTTTCGTCTGATTTCGTGATTTCAAATTCTGTCTTTCCTTGAAACTCCCTGAGCTTGTCTAAGCCATTTCATCTCCGTTGTCACAATCTTACGTTCATTAGAGGATGCAAACTACTGAACGGTCGCTATGGCAAACGTTTTTTAAAAAAATTATTTGAAACCAGCCAATCGGAAGTTATTCGTGTGAGGGAAAAGGGCGAGGAGCGGTGGGTGTATGTGTGTGTGTGTGTAGGTGTGTGTGTGTGGGGGGGGGGGGAATATGTTAGTACGTCGACATTGATGTGTTCTTGTTTATGTTAGCACACAGGTTGTATACCTGTTACACAGGTGATGATGTAGTTGTATATGCTATAGTATATATTAGTATATGGTTGGTGATATGGTTGTTTGTGCTGTGTTACATGTAAGTACGAAGGTTATGTGATGATTTCCTAGCGACTCCCACGGGCTGTCCTATACTGTAGGGGTGTCATGTGTAGCTTTTTTTTTTAGGTGTGTAAAATGCAAAAACATCAACGATTCGAGGCTCACGAATCGTCGCTCCTTTGGCGCTTTTCCAGGCAGAACGTTTTCCTTAAGACAGGCGCCTGCGGCGCCTGGGCTACTTACAACAACACATTCCCAAAGAAGCAACCGTCGTTGCCACAAAAGTGAGTTAGAAACGAAAAGCTGCACAGTTTCGTCTGGGAGACAAGTGTGTTGACCTCGTGGAAAGAACCTGAGTCACTTTTCGGCACGCTGTGAATAGCCACCCCTACAACATAGGACAGCCCGTGGCAACCGCTACGATATCACATAGCTGAACGAGACTGGGTGACAAGCACGAGTTGTACCGAGAAAGCAAAATACATTAATTTGTAGACAAATAGTTAGACAGACGAATAGACAGACTGACTTCTTTTCTTCTTAATTTCATCTCACCGTTACCAGGTTGTAACCCAGTGTTGTAATTTTCTTTGTCTTTCGCTTCTCGGATGGTTTAAGTGATGGATTTGTCTATCTTTTTTGCAGTTTTCATCTACACCATTTATCCATCTCTTTCTTGGTCTTCCTCTTATTCTCAGGCCAGATATTCTACTGTAAAAATTCTTGCATGTAGTCTGGTCTGACCGCATATTCACTAGATGGCCGAACCAACCGATATTAGACAGACAACCATGCATAAATATATACAAACAGAAACATCAATGTGCTGGCAAACATTATGTCAGACAGACAGACAGACAGACAGACAGACAGACAGACAGACAGACAGACAGACAGACAGACAGACAGACAGACAGACAGACAGACAGACAGACAGACAGACAGACAGACAGACAGACAGACAGACAGACAGACAGACAGACAGACAGACAGACAGACAGACAGACAGACAGACAGACAGACAGACAGACAGACAGACAGACAGACAGACAGATGTAGTAACTGTTCATTGTCATGCAGGACTGTCAGCGTCTGTGGCTTAGGCGTTGCGAACGAGCTTCGTAATCCCGGGGTGCGGGGTTCAATACCGCTGCGGGCCATGTGCCTTAGTTTCGACAGTGGTATGGAGAAGCCGACCGTCAATAAAGCAATGGCAAACTACTAGACGTAAATTTTCCTAGATTAACCACAACAGTCAACACATGCTGAGGTTAGTTCTGTGTCCTAGAAAGGAAACACAACTCACTAACATGCAGGAGCTGGTTCTTGGTCTCTCAGGTCATGTCAGGAGAACAGAGAATAAATAATCGTGGGTGTATCATTGACAACAATGAGCAGATAGAGGATATGAATTGACAACTATGAGCAGATAGAGGATATGAATTGACAACAATGAGCAGATAGAGGATATGAATTGACAACAATGAGCAGATAGAGGATATGAATTGACAACAATGAGCAGATAGAGGATATAAATTCACAACAATGAGTGGATAGAGGATATGAATTGACAACAATGAGTGGATAGAGGATATGAATTGACAACAATGAATGGAAAGAGGATATGAATTGACAACAATGAGCAGATAGACAAAGTGAATTGACAACAATGAGGGGATAGATGATATGAATTGACAACAATGAGGGGATAGATGATATGAATTGACAACAATGAGTGGATAGAGGATATGAATTGACAACAATGAGTGGATAGAGGATATGAATTGACAACAATGAGCAGATAGAGGATATGAATTGACAACAATGAGCAGATAGACAAAATGAATTGACAACAATGAGCAGATAGAGGATATGAATCGATAAGAATGAGCAGATAGACGATATGAATTGACAACAATGAGCAGATAGACAAAATGAATTGACAACAATGAGCAGATAGAGGATATGAATCGACAACAATGAGCAGATAGAGGATATGAATTGACAACAATGAGCAGATAGAGGATATAAACTGACAACAATGAGCAGATAGAGGATATAAACTGACAACAATGAGCAGATAGAGGATATAAATTGACAACAATGAGCAGATAGAGGATATGAAATTGACAACAATGAGCAGATAGAGGATATGAATTGACAACAATGAGCAGATAGAGGATATAAACTGACAACAATGAGCAGATAGATGCACTTACCTCCCTGACGCAATGTAGTCAACATATGTTACTGTGAAAGAAGGGCAAAAGAACGAGTGTTACTTGAGTGTTATTTTCATATTAACAAGCTGTTGCCACTGAAAATCTTTATCTGTGTCGTAGGTGTTGCGAAAGCGCTTCGAAGTGCCAGGGTGCCGGGTTCAATTCCATCTGCATGCGATTTGGCAGCAGACCACCTTGCGTTGGTTTTGACAGTGGTATCGAGAGCCGAACGTTGAGTAAGCAATGGCAAACTACTGAACTTAAATTTTGCCTAGACAAAAACCGGAACAGCCAAAACATGATGTTGGCTCTGCGACATCATGCAAAGGACGCGCAACTAACGTTGTTACCGTTAAAACCACACAAGCACACCATAATATAATCATGACATACAACAAATCTCATCGTATAAAACAAAACCAGACAGTCACCACTTTTCAAAACTAACAACATATCTCATTACATTTCACAAACAAATCTCAGCGAAAACAACACACAGCCACAAACAACAAATCTCATCGTATAAAACAAAACCAGACAGTCACCACTTTTCAAACTCAGCGAAAACAACACACAGCCACAACAACAATCTCATCGCTTTTCACAAAACCACATAGTTTCCCCACTTTTCAAACTCAACAAAAACAACACGCAGCCACAACAACAAATCTCATCGCTTATCACAAAACCAGATAGTTTCCCCACTTTTTCAAACCCAGCAAAAACAACACAGTCACAACCTGATACCTCCGCCATAACTCTGCTTCCTCTACAACAGGCAAGCTAGCTACGGTCAGGAATTTTTGGGCCTGAGATGTTGACAATCAAGCGCGAAAGAGCGATCATGCATGGATCAAGCCAGGATTTGTATTTTGAGAGTGGGGTTCCAATGAGAGCCTTGAAAGTACGATAGAAATTACAAAAACCTTGCCATTGTAACCTGTCAATAATGTTGTTAAGGATGTCAAGAAGGCTAAGCTCGTAACACATAGCACACAAAAACGGTGACTTCATAATGGCAGTTTAGAGATGACTGTCCCTCTTTTGATACGCACCAAAGTAGAGCAGCGTTCTGTTATCCGTATAAAAAAAAGGGGGGGGGTGGGGGGGGGGGGTGGGGGGGGGGGGGGGGGGGGGCCAAGGGGGGTGGTGGGCGGAGGTGCGGGTGGTGGTGAAACCGATACAATTTTATCAGCAAGTGAATGAGTGGAGTAGGCAGTTTCATAATGGCGTCATTTCAGTGACAGACTGAATGACAGCCAATTAGATGCCAACGCCAGTACAAAACACTGTTAATATGATTTTGGTCACACTTGTAGCTTCTCATTGAACCCCCACCCCCCCCACCCCCATCGTCGCCGCTCATCATCATCGTCGTCGACGTCATCATCATCATCATTATCATCATCATCACCATCCTACTACCAATATCATCATCCTCATCATCATCCTCATCATCATCATCATCATCATCATCCTCATCATCATCATCATCATCCCACTACCATCATCATCATCCTCATCATCATCATCATCATCCTCATCATCATCCTCATCAATCATTATCATTATGCCTGTCCACAACCTGCGATCTCTCCACAACCTGCGTGTATGCGTGTATCAGTTCGTGTGTTGCCACCCATCCATGACAGGACACAGAAGTGGTATCAAGTACCTTTTCACGCTGTCTTCCTTTGTGTCTCTTTCGACCCCTCCCGCCACCAAACTCCCTTGAATTTCCTCGGGAGAAAACATACGCACGAACATACCTCTTTTTCTCCCAAACGGACCGCCAAAAATAAAGTCCCCACCAATGATGTTTCGGAAGATGTACGCGCACAGGAGGTTTTTGCTCTCCTCACTGATGTCATTGAACTCCAGCTCATCCAGAAGGAGATTCGTCTTGGTTCTCAGCGAAGATCTTCTCTGTCTCTGCATGGAGGAGACTGAAGCCATCGGGTGGATGATGTTGGAGACTAGATCTTGTCCATCGGGTTCTCGGTAGGCAAGACGCATTGTGTGGAAACTCTCTATGGACACCACACCGCTAGGGTCATAGCCATCCGCAGCGATAGAGATCTTGGCGTTGGTGTACGCTTTGTTGTCCTTGGTAAAGTCGACCCGTTGGGACTTCCGCGGGTAGGTGCTGAGGCTGTGGCTATGCATTTTCGCTGTCGCTATATTGCAGATCTTCTGCTAATCCTTTGTTGTTGTTGTTCTATTGGAAGACGTGCTACAGTTGTTTTGTGTTCAGTCGCTCCTACTGGGATGTCCTCCTATAGAAGGACTCGTAGGTCAGTTGTTGTATGGCGGGTAGCTTCAATATAATGCGGAACTATGTCGAAAGCAATTACAGATTTATAAATCAAACACTGTCTTAAAAACTAAACACACTAAAGTGTTACAGCCAAGGGACAACACACACACACACACACACACACACACACACACACAAACACACACACACACAACTAAAGGCACAGAACAGGTCTCATTTAAAAAAAAAAACTACCTATGTTTCCGGGTCGACCCAGTCTGAAATCGGAATTAGGTTAAAGTCCTGGGAAGTAAAGGCAGCCAGTGTGATGTTAACCCCATCACTCACCGTGTGCCTAATAGTCTATAAAATGGAGGTCCAACCCTACATGCCCAGTTCTATCTTTAAATGCATTAACTGTGCTTTTTCCTAAAGTCAATGCGACAAAACGTTTCAGGAAGACTTAAACATTGATCTGAGAAAAGAACTGAAGGCGATGTTAACAAACACAAAACAAGGACAGGCACTCTCAAGGAATTAGCAAGGCGCCATAGCCTTTGCATGTCGGACTCTGGGGCTAAGCCGATGCGAACGCTTCGTATTGCCGGGGTGCCGGGTTCGATCCCAGCTGCGGGCCATGCGCCTTGCGTTGGTTTTGACAGTAGTATCAAGGGGCCGACTGTCCAGATGGCAATGGCAAACTACTGGACGTAAATTTGTCTAGAGAAACCACACAACAGCCAGGGGCTGCTTGGGTTGGTTCTGCAACGTCCTGTAAAGGATACGCAACTAACCAATAACCTTTGCAGGAGATTCTCCTGCAGTTAAACTATATTAGTCCTCGCGTCTGTTCCGTTGCCTCATTTCGTGGCCCCTGGGGGGGGGGGGGGAGCAGTGCTGTGGCTGATTGGGGGGGGGGGGGGGGGGGGGGGGGTCTGGCTGTGATTGGTGGGTGGTCAGGGATGTTTTTGGGGATGGTTGCTGGACGGGGAAGGGGGAAAATTGACCTACTACCCCTTTAACAAGCATATCGTAAATGTCCAATAATTAGAGGTGTTTCCTTCGAACTCGAATACCTCCGTGTGTGAGTCAATGAGCCAGCAGTATTTTTACAAAAAAACTAGATCTGTAAAACGGATATGCACCCAATATTTAAGTTCTGAAACCAGACCAAAGTACAGAAGTGGACTTCCAGCTGAGTTGACAGAAGATGAACGCAAAGCTGCAGAAGCAGAATAAAGCGTTCCAGCTGAGCTAAGAACTAAAGAAGTTTTTGCAACGTGACGCGAAGCGTGACTATGGAAGCCATTGGAATCATGACTATCCGTAAGTGACTATGGACGCCATTGGCACACAAAACGCCATCGGCAGAACTAAATATAAGACGCCATTGGCACACATGACTATGGACGCCATTGGCACACGTGACTATGGACGCCATTGGCACACATGACCATGAACTGCATTGGCACACGTGACCATGGACTCCATTGACACACGTGACCATGGACTCCATTAGCACACGTGACCATGGACTCCATTGGCACACGTGATCATGGACTCCCTTGGCACTCTGGACCATGGTCTCCATTGGCACACGTCACCATGGACGCTATCGGCACACGTGATCATGGTCTCCATTGGCACACGTGACCATGGTCTCCATTGGCACACGTGACCATGGTCTCCATTGGCACACGTGACCATGGTTCCATTGGCACACGTGACCATGGTCTCCATTGGCACACGTGACCATGGACGCCATTGGCACGTGATCATGGACGCCATTGGCACTCGTGACCATGGACGCCATTGGCACATGTGACCCATGCTTATAGGGTTCACCTACGCATGCAAAAATGGAGTTTGAACTACAATATTCACCTTTATATAATAGGTCCTTTCACATAACCCATCAAACCCGCATAACAGACATGTATTCCTTGTTAACATTTTCGCCTCATGCAATCTCTTCCCTGAGATTTCTCTTATATTTTCTGCCCACCTTCGTGTTCGTCGGCCCCTGCCCATCTATTCCTATCCATTTATACCTTTAACCTGAAGACCTGATCTAAATAACGAATTCCACGTTTTAATACTTTCTTCCCTCTGTGGGTCTCGCGGTCCCATTGGAAAAGGGGAGGGGGAAGACCCACTGCCCCCTAACAAGCATGTCGTAGGAGGCCACTGATTAGAGTCGTTTCTTTCGAAGTCAGTGATCATCTGTCTTAAAGGCGAGAAACCCACGGACAGCATACAAATAAGCTAGATCTGTAAAATAGATGTGTACGCAATACTGAAACTGGATCAAGATCAAAGTCAAGAAGAGGACGAACAACCAGACAGGCTGTGAACATGACGCCAGAGTACAAATGCTGTCATCTACCAGTTAGCCCCACTGCTTAAACACCCACATGTCTCCCTTCCAGCAAAAAAAGAAAATTAATAATAATATATGTATCCCTACTTTATGAAAGCAGTGCCAAACATGGATAATGATTATGACACTAGAACAGAAAAAAAAACTACAAGTGAAATACGCTGTCACAGCAAAGTTACTAACAACACTAGAAGAGTCAGGGTAACGAATACCAGCATTAATTAGTTCGAAGAAGACCATATCTGGACTATACTCAGAGACTAGGAATGAAATGGTTCGGTCATTTAGTTAAAATGCAGCCAGTTCAAACCGTATATGAGATTTTTTGGCTCTTCTTTCAATTCCGGACGGTAGCTGGACGGCTTAGTTCGGTGTAGTGGGAGTTCTCTCC